CCCTCAGCCAGGGTCAACCCACCACAGGGGATTAGCATCTTGGTTTTGTCCAGGTAAGAACTCTCAGCTATCGATGAGAAGATGAATCCTTAACACATCTGCACTCCCAGATCACCTTGGGTACGGCCAGCAGTGTGGATCAGAAAAAAGAAAATGGTGAGGTCAGATTTCATGGGTTTTAATTCTACAGTTTCCTTTATGCTCCTTCCCAGCGGGGCTCCACAGTGAGACAGCAAAGTGCAGCCTGGCACGGAGACCCAGTTTCATTTAACAGGAGGGGCTGGGCACTTATAAGCACAGCAAGAGGGACTATTTGCAGCAAAGAAATCAAAAGGCTGCTTTATTTTTTTTTAAAAAGCTGCCATGGAAATGTATCTGACAAATGCATTTCCCCTTGTTTGCAGTCACGGTGCAGGGGTGTGGGACAGGGCACATCTGGGGCACACTGCCAGTGCCAGCCAGTGTGGAAACAACCACACACACTTCTGCAAGCTTGAGCGATGCTTTCAATGCAGGGAAAGTCCCTGTCAGTCTTTATTTCACTGCATGTTTGTCTGATGCCTGTCTGCCTCCTGAAAAGCACCCTGCACCTCCCCAGGGTGGAGGAGCCCAACCAGCACCCAGCTAACACGACACAGTCTGGGAGCATCTGCTAGTTCAAACAAGGGTAGCCAAAGGTAACCTAAACAGAACTTCTTAAATGCCACCTTTTGTTGACAAAAGCAGGAGGGAAGATTTTTTGCTGTCAAAGGTGTGAGACAGCCCTACAAGCCTCACGCCTAGAAGTGCCAGAAGTATAAAAATGCTCCTTTTTCTGTTCCTTGTCCAAATATGTTCTTCCTTTTGGTTCTGCTTCTTCTTTTTTGGGGTTTGATAGCATTAGGACAATTTCAAAATCTTCGAGCACCCAAGTGCTGATCACTGGAAGTCTGGGGGTGGCAAGGGAAGGTGTGACCGACGTGGGGGGGTGGTTGGGTTGGGTTAGAGCCCATGGAAGACGGTGAGTGAAAGGCACAGGCCCTCTCACACAAGCTGATATGGGACTTCCCAGAGCAATCGTGTCACTGGGACCATCCTCTCCAGTGCACTGGTTCATTCCTAAGAGAGAACCTTTGCTGAGCCAGCAGAAAAGGAGGCTAGGAGGATATTGTGGCATGAAGGTATGGAAACTCGTGTTTTTTTTCCCTCCCTGGTCAATCCGCAGTCTCTGCTGTCTTCTGAGGCTGGGTGACCACTTGATTAGAGATATGTCTCCAAATATTTGTGGGTCTGGGGCCTTCTTGGGGCTTCACAAGTCGCATATTGACCAGCTCCCCCAACCTCACCTCGATCCATCTGAATCAAAGCTGAATCTGGTCTCACACAAAGGTTCAGAGTGCCCTGAGCACGAACTAGAGCATAACTTACCTGGGAGGCAAGATTAAAGGAGCAGATGCTCAGAAAGAAAACGCAGGACTGCCAACACAGGCAGCATTTTAATCAAACACCAGTTTCCTACTCTGGGAGTGGATGCCATGGAGGCTGTCCACAGAAATAGATACTTCACAGTCTTTGCAATGGGAAGACCTTCTTGAAATAATTTCCAGGGGACTGAATCCACATCCTAGTTCGATCCTCCTGGCCCATCTGAGACTAAAAAACAACTTCCACATACACTTCAAATCTGTCCTTGGGGGTCCTGCAGAGCACAGCTGAGGACCTCACTGTGCTCAGCTTTCCCAGCCCAAACCCAGACTGGGCAGAGCTGGACCTTTGCAACAAACCCTGCTTTTGTCCTTACCTGGCACTGATGTCCCCAGTGCAACAAACACGACCGCAGTGACTGAGTCCTTCAAGCCGATGGTGCAGCCAAAGTGGGATGCCAGGTCGCCAATGAAAGCTGTCAGGAGGCCGATCATGAGGATGGAGACTACGAAGCAAGCCCAGCCATTCCAGTAGTCTGTTGGGGGCACGAAGGCAAAAAGGACCTTCCAGAAGACAGTCAGAAAGTGCATAACATAGTCGAAGCAGGAGGGCAGCTTCTCCTCCCCACATTCATCATCATCGTCATCTTCACCTGGAGAAAACCACCAGTGCCTGATTAGACTCACCCATCCTGGGGGAGGTTGGGCAAAGCTCCTGTACATACCGCAGACTCGCAAAAGCTGTCTCCCGTGATTTGGGCCCTAGAAGGCCTTGACTTCCAAATACCTTATTTTCCAGGCAATCATTAGAGGGGCTTGATGGCCTTTCCTGGTCCCTTCCCACAGCACAGAGAGATTCTCCAAAGGCATTGGTCTCAAAAACCAACCTGCACTTCAGAAAAACGCAGAGCCTCGCACCAGCACCTCTGCCTGGGTTTAACCACCAGATGCTTTCTGGGGCTCAGCCCCTGCTTGGGAAGCCTTTCTCTAGAAGACGTGGGAAATGGCCAGCTTCACACTGGCTGGAGCTGACCAGGGTGGGCAAACCCACCAAGAGCAAAACATGCCTCCTGGAAACACCCCTAAGGAAGCCCTTTTTGAGCTGCTTTTCACAAATGCCTGAAATTGCTGCCAGCTCTCTGGGAAGACAGCTGGTTTTGGTGGCTATTGAGCTGATAGCTCTGGTGCTTCACCTTTTCTGCTACTGGCCCCCAGCCATGAAGAATACCTGCCCTAAAACCTCCCTGGTCCATCACTGCTGACTGTCCTTCCCTGTTGCATTTCTCTGCCCCGTCCCGTGCAACCCTATGAGCTCTGGCTGCCCATTCCTTTCGGTTTGGTCTGACCCAGGTCAGTGGGCACCCTCTGCACATGAAAATGCTTTCGCATTTGCACCCCTTCCAGGTAGCTGTCAAGTACCCCAGGCCATGAGCCAGCTACGGGGCATCATTTGTCATGGCAAAAATGCACTTCCCTTCTTCTCTCTATTTTATGTCCCTGATCCAGGTCAGTGCTTCACTTCTCACCAATCTGTTGTTAATGCCTTGCAAGGGTCATTTTCCCAGTGTGAGCCTGCCAGCAGTCCTGGCCCCATCTTTGCTCACCAGGCACATTGTGTGGGTCAGATCCTGGCTCTCCTGGTGCTGTGCTGAGCACTCGGCCCTGCACAGCACACCTCTGCTCACAGCTGTGGCCCCTGAGCAAGACCTGGGTCTCCAGCAGAGATAAGGAGTTGGGGATGCGAGTCCTTGTGCCCATCCTGCCTGATGTCCCAGGGGCTCTCAGACCCTGAGTGCCAGCTGCTGCATGCCCACAAAGGCTCTCAGGGAGTCATGCATCCATAGACATGCACTCCTGGACTGGGGGGCTCGTACCCAGAGCTCCTCTGTGGGTCGCCGGGAAAGAGCTCAGCAGATGTTGGACTATCCTGGCCCCCTCCCCTGGTTCTTCGGCCCTTTCCCTCAGCACTGGCCCAGCACATCTTCATGTTGTTGGTCCTGGCAGGGCCATGGGGATCCAGGCAGGTGTCTCAGTTTCTCCACTCCCTGCTCCAAGTGTCAGCACATCACCTGTCTCTCCAAAGCCACTTGGCATGCAGCCTCCAGGGAGTCCCCATCACGTGGGGCTGACTCCACCAGTGGGCCCCTCAGGGCTGGTGACCTCCTGCCTGACCCCTGGAGCTCTGATGAGGCATTTCATGAGCTCGCTGGCCAGCCTGTCCTCTTGGGTGGGCTGCATGGTGAATGTGGAGCTGCCCCAGCCTGGCACAATGCACAATGCCAGAGTTGTAGCACACCAAAAACTCCTCCTGCTCGTGCTTGAACCACCCCCAGGCATGAAGGGGATGTGACGCTTTCCCAATGAAATCAGTGGGAGCCTTCCTGCCACCCACAAGGAACAAGGATGAAGTCACGGATGTCAGGGATTCCAAGGCCATTGCCAGTTGTGTTAAAGACATCCCTTGCACTCAGGTTGGTGATTTGTCATTGTCTTTGTTGCATTTTTTTCCCTCCAAGAATGTGGACCACCAGATCTCCCTGCACGGCTGTTGGCGGAAGCTCCTTACCAAGGGAATGAGGCAATCCCTCCCCTTCAGGTAGCATGAGTGAGCCTGGCTCTCCTTCCTGGCAGGACATCTCAGGGTGATGGGAAAAAAGGGCAAGTCCCAGAGCAACCAAGAGCACCCATTGAAACCTCAGCCTGTGCTCTGCTCCACCGCAGTGGGTGAGGGGATAAGGTCCCACCTCGCCAGACACTGGGTTTAAGGGAATGATGGTTCTGTGCCTGTGAAAGCTGCTTCTCTCAGCAGCCACAGTACTGATCAGGCTGGCGTAAGCTTTTGAATGGGACCGTGCTGTTTTTATCTGCCCCACTGCTGGCCAGGGTGAACATTCCTCCTTTCACATCTTCCTCCACAATGCGGATGTTTGACTGAATAACAAAATGTATAAAGCCTCCCACAGGGAGACTAAAATGGTCTTGCTGTACACTGTGTACCAATACATGGGTATCAATTAACCCCATGTTCAAATGGTGGCTCTGTGCCATGACAACAGAGTTACTGGAGGAAGCTGCTGGTGTGCTGCTTGCTCTGTTGCGGCTCAAAACAACAATTCTTTTCTGCCTCATCACAAAGGTGGCGATGAAAAGCCAAGTGGGGGATCAAGACATGGCATCCTTCCTGAGAAAGTGGCCACCAAACCCTGTGCACTGAAGTTTCACCTCTTGCCTACTCCCCTTTGTGGTCCTGCAGATTCTGCAGGAGCAAGAAAAGGAAAAGGCCCAGGGATCCCAGATTGTGATCACCCTCAAGAGATTTTGGTAACCTGTAAAGGGAGTCAGCCTGCTCTTGGTTTGGCCCAGCTCCAGTACATGTAAACCTTGCACCCTGCTGGCACCCTTGGGGCTCTCAGCAGAGAGGCAGCTGCAGGGGAGAGGGTAGTGATGGAGCCAGTGAGAGCAAGACAAGAGGGAACCTCTAATGCAGATATCTGTCTGTACACAGGGGATACGGCATCCCATGTGAGGGCTGGAGTGAAGCTGGAGGGGATTCAGTGCGGCCACCAAGATGACTGGAGTCTGGAGGATGTCGCCTATGGGGAGAGGTGGAAGGAGCTGGCTTGGTGACTCAGGAGGAGAGGAGGTTGGAGGGGACCAAGCAACAGCCTACAGTGACTTGGAGGGCAGGAACAGAGGATGGAGCAAAACTCCCCTCTGCGCTGGCAAGCGATACAACAAGGTACAACAGCCACAAACTGCAACTTGGATGGTAATATCAGGAGAAATGTCTTCTCCAGGAGGGTGGTGCAACCCTGGGACATACACCCTGATGGACATCATCTCTGGAGGTTTTTGGCTAAATAAAACCATGACCAAACAGGGAAAAGTCCTACTCAGCACCCTGTTGGGGTGTAACTTTACACATACTGTTTTTCTTCAAAGCACCTTTGCAGATCAAGACCAACACATAAGACAGAAGCAGTGGGAAACTTGATGTCTGTACAGTAACTTGATGGGAAATCGTGTGTTGCTTGGCTTTAAAGCTTCAAAGTCACTATGGCAGAAACAGTAGCTGATCAGTGGCATGGTGTTATTAATTTGGCAGATATAAATACCCTATTCCTGTGCATTGTCCTGGAGATAAGTAACAGTCTTCCAGCCTGGGAAGTCTATGCTGGCCTGGTTTTTTTTTTTTTGCTTGTTGCACAAAGGCTGGTATTTGCAGGATACACTGTGCTGTGCTCACACAGTAATTTTACAGCGGGTATTTTAATCCTGTCCCAAGCTGTAAGGCAGCAAGACTGTCATGGATCTAAATCTTTATGGAGATGATAAAACAGACTGAAAAATGAACATGAGTGCCACTGTCATAACACTCATCCAGATCTGTCTATCATTTTGTTAAGCAGCAATAACGTCTCTCTTTCAGACAGCCGGCCAGATCCCGTGAAGGTGAGTTGAAACACAGCGTGAGGTTGGATGGTAACCCCGGGGGTGCATTCAGGAACAGGCTTACAAACCCCAGGATGTTTTTGCTGTGGAAGAAACTTTGGGCTGTTGGGTGCACATCAAAGGCAGCTATGGGTGAGGGGCTCCTGCTCAGCCCCGTGGACAGCACGGGATGGCACGGTGTGGCACAGTCTTGCCTGCACCTGCACTGCCCTTCTGCAGACCTGTCCCGATGCTCCATCGTTCACCCTCCCTGCCAACATTACCTCCAGTTGCTCGTGGGGCGGGAAATGGGGTTTTAATGTTTCTTTTCGCAGCTGGGATGCTACATTTTGAAGCGGGAATGTGCGACTTTCACTTGCTCTTCATGGTGGGCTGCAGGGAAAAACTCAAAGCCAAATTCCAGTGTGTAAGGCATTTTAACTCGCTCAGCACAAAGCTTGAGGAGCTAAATCCTGGCAAAAAAAAAAGTAGGTTGAGAGCTCAAAGACAAACTATTGTTCCCCATCTGCAAGGGACAGCACATGTTCACTGAAATATGCCACATTTATTAAACGTTTTTTAATTGTCCTGTTAGCACTGATGATGGCTGTATATTCAAGACACAGTGGCAACAGGGCTTTGACATAGCCACAGTCTTCACAGAGATGGGATCCAAGTACCAATGATTATCTTTGCTTTAATATGGGATGCAATTAAATAATTGATTCTGGCATAGATTAGTTTAGCCATATTAGCTATAAAACCTGCAGCAAGGATTGTCTTGCATGATAAGTTCATGCCATATCTGAAATAATGGGAGGTTCTTGGCTGGAGGCTCTAAGAATAACTGTGCTACATGAGGAGGGATCCCAATTCGAGGAGATAGCTGCTGCACAATATCCTGTCCTCATTTTCAGAGGCGGAGGAAAAATGGTATGGCAATCACTTTTAATTACTTTTTGCTGGGCAGAGGTTACCCTGTACAGCAGAGCTCGAGGTAGGAAGTGCGAGTGTTCCCCCATGCTTTTCATTGCACAGCAAGCCAGATGAGCTCAAATTGCCTTCCACAGTGATTTAATCTAAGCTGGTTGATTTTGCCCTGATGCGTGCACATACGCAGCCTAGGCTGGGCTGTAACATCCAGCCAGTGAGTTATAGCATCTCCAGCTGTTAAAACCACATCTGGAGGAGACCTTTCTTTCATCTTCCACAGATGTAGGAATGCTAATATATTCTACACTGGGCATACTAGTAAACATGGCACTGGTGCTTGAGAGAACAGTACAACAGAGCATTTCTGATGGAAAGGCAATTCTCCAAGAGAGGGAAGATATGATCAGAGATGATCTGATATGACCACAGATATCACAGCTATTGAGCTGCTGAGCCATAACCTCCAGACACAGCTGGCTGAAGCAGCAGGAGTTCCTGAAAGCAGGGGGTCAAGGACAAATTGTGGCCCACAGAGGGGGACTCAGTGGCTGTCTTCAGGGTTTTGCACCCTCGCTACTGTGTTGTCCTCACTACAGCAGTACGTGGGGCACGAGGGATGGAGAGGACTGCTGCTTTGCACCAGCATCATTCTTGCCACTCTGACTTTGAACACTGCATTTGTTTCCAAAATCTCTCTCACTGAAATGACTTTTCCTCTCTGCCATCTGGTAACAGCCAGGGTGTTTCTCTGCCGGGTGCTACAGACACACTTAATGCAGGAGATTTCCTACACATCAGACAAGGTGATCTCACGAAAGGGTTTAATCAACTATCTTATTTATGCAAATCCACCACCTGTTTTGCCTCCTGCTGCTCCACTACGGTCTGTATTACTGATACAGCAAAGCTGAGACACGATCGTAATTCTTCTGGAGCTGTGGTCCAAACTCACCTGCGCTGACAGTAATAGCCTCAATAAACTGCTCCCTCCAGCTGTTTGTGCCAACCACCAGGGCCAAGTTCGTCTTCTTAATGAGCTTGTCCACCGTGTTCTGTGGATGGAGATGCAGAGGAAAGAATTAGGGGCTATCGGCCTGGAGATACTGGGCTAAAACCCACCAGCGCCAGTGCTCTACAGCCCTGCACTTATGGAAAAAGCTTAGTAGACTTTAAGCTCAGGTCAAGATCCCCAGCAGCAAAAGTAAATGTAAGTACTTGCAATTCCCCTAGCTGCCGCTCAAAAAGACCTTTTGAAACCTGCTCATGAGGGAGTTTGAACCATCTCAGTGGAGGTTTAACAGCAAATAGTGCTGAGGCGCCGCAGCTTCTGTTGTTCCCAACACCTCGGAAGATTTTTTTACTGGGCTACTTCAAAGCACTTGACCAAGACCCATTTGCAAAGCTGGGCTCTACCTCTCCGTGCTGCTCATGAGCGGGAGCTCAGCACTGGCAGGGAGGTGCTGCGGCAGCAGCAGGTAGGAGATGCTCCTGGGCAGGCAGCCTGAGGGCTGCCCGCACGCCGTGATGCCTCAGATGCACACTGATGGCAGGCAGCAAAACCGTGGGAGGGAGGCAGCCACCACCGCAGCACAGTAAGGGTGGTCTGTTATTTTTTATACTATAGAAAAATGGAAAAGATAATGAAATGGCCAATTTTCAACTCTTGGTCTGGCACACGTATTCATGGCAGCTCAGCTTCACAGCCATTACCTGCATTTAGGGTATCCGCTCTTTGCACTGGGAGTCCCAGGCTGTAAGTAGGACCTGGGTGCAGGACATCACTGTGAGGATGAGGTTGTATTTTAAATCAACCTGCAGCATTTTGGAGTCTAGTCAGCTCTTAGGCTCACCAGACTGATGTGCTCGTGTAATAATAACTACAAACAGTCTGTGACTGGGACAGAAAGTCTGGGATCATCCCCCAACGACCATGGCTGTGGGCTAATGGACAGAGTGAGGATGCAGAGTGTATTTTAACCCACTGCCATCTCACTGGATTGACCCTTTCATTATGCCTTAGCTCAGCCACCTTTCAAAGTGTCCCTTGGTCCTGCTCTGAGACCTTGTGATGCGAGGAGCTGCCTTGCTTTGCTGCAATGCCATTAACATGTGCTTGCCAATGCTGTCCAAAGCCAAAGGGAGGGTCCCCAGGTGGAGGGGAAGAAGAACAGCGACAGGGGACGCAGACAGTACCTTGAACTCATAGGATTCCTCAATGATGACTTCGAGCTTGCTGTGTTCCCCTAGGACTGGGCGCCCCATCTCCGCAATTCGACGCTCTCCTCCTCCTTGCTGGTCAGTGGCTGTTTTTCTTCGTTCTCCTCTGCAAAGCAAAGAGCCCGTCGGTGAGCCAGGTCTGGCTGGTCCCTCTCTGGAGCTGGTTTCCCATCAGACGGGGAGGTCAGGAAGCCTCCAGGTGGGAGCGTGAGTGACAGAGCAGCTGAGGAGGTCATGGAGCAATAGACAAAGTAGTTTTGCTGGGAAATGTTAGCAAGAGGTCTGCAGCTTGTCCAGCCTTAGAAGGAGTCCAGTTCTCAGGGCTGGGGAATAGCATATTGCCTGGTACCTGCTGCCTCTCCCACAGGGATGCTGGGAGGGGACAGATCGTCACTAAGGCTGCTCCATTTCCCAGCTCTCCAGGTCTGCATCAGGGCATGGTAAGGACATTTCCATGAGCCTGTTACAACCAGAGAGAGCTGCCAGCAGCACCAGGGTAGAGATGGGTATGAAGTCTTGGCTCTGCCTCCTTCTGAGCAGGCCTTTACCTTGGGGAGGGGGCTGGCAGCTGGAGACCATGAAACTCCAGCTGTGATGGTGGGGCTGGAGGAAATAGTGCTGAGCCATACAGGTGTGAGGAGCCATCCACAGGACATGGCCTGGCCCCAACCCTGAGAGAAGAAGCAATGGAGAGACTACAACAGAAATGGAGCAGGTCTGCACCTCCACTGGCATCTGTGCAACCTCTGGGCCATGGGGACCCCAGGCAGCATGGCTTTTGTCACTGTCCCTGCACAGACCCCCCCACTGAGCTCCATTCCAGTCCAACACAGGGATGAACAGAAGGACATCAGGGCTAAAAAGGGCTGGATGCACTGGAGACAGGAGTTAAACTGTCAGTAGGCAAACACTCCAGTCAGTTCGTGTTAGACTGCCACAGCCCTTGGGTGTCACACTATGGGTACCTTGGATGGTGACCACGGCGCAAGGAAGAGGATGATCTCTAGCCTGGACCTTCCTGAAGACAGGTTTGCCTATCAAAGTGATCAGCAGTAGATCAGCAGGAGGGACTGTATGCCCCATGCAAACCGTCGCCATGCGGTTAGTAAACTCTACTCCTACTTCACACGGGGTTAGTGTCGCTCCCTTGCTGGCTGCCCTTTGGCTGCGCAGGCAGCATCACGCTGTGACAAAGCCCTTCATCTCCTGCTGGTCAAAGGGACCAGCCTCATGGACAGAGCCTTGTTAGTCTGAATTATTTTTTCCAGGGCTCCTGAGGGGCTGCTCTGCAACATGCAGGACCCAGGACCTTCTCTGTCTGCACTGCTTGGCCTAATGACAGATGCTTGGCTGTCTAACGACGGATGAGCAAACCTCGCTGCTGGGTCTCACCGGTGGGAAAGGCAGGGGCTGCGTGCCTGAAGCAGCCATGGGGTCCTGCACCTCTCACAGTGCTCAGGTACCCTGGCTGCTGTCTGGGGAGTGAGGACAGGCTGCCCGTGCTGTGCAGAGCCCTGTGCATCATCTCCTGTGCGGGCTGCACATCTCCATGGAGAGGAAGGCTGGACCAAGTGGAGAAGCCCGCCCTCTGCTCCAAGAGATTGCGGGGGGGGTTGCCTGTCACTTCAGGGGTGACGGCTCACCCTCCCTGAGGTGAGGGTTAGGTGTGTGCAGCAGGCAGAGCACTCTGTGAGAGGACACAGTGTTAGCATGACTGGACGGGGTGGTGGAGCTGTGGCACGGTGCCTTCTTACCCTTCCAGAGTTTCCCTCCAGGACAGAACAAAAGCAAAGAGGAAACCAAGAGGAAAGAGCAGGGTAAGCATATGGCCATTAAGAGGAGGGAAGGAAGGGGGGCAGGGGAAGAGCAGAAATCCATACCTGTGATGGTGAAGCCACCTAGATGAAATCAAAAGGGAGAGACAGAGAGAGGGAGAGAGAGAAAGAGAGAGGATTAGCATCGGCACAGCAACATGGGCACCCTGCAGTCCGCAGGGACGTGGTGGTCCTTCCCTGCCCCACGACTGGGGACTGTGGACATGGGGGGCTGCTCCCCGACACGCATCCCAGGGTTAGTGTGGGGAGACCTGCACACAGGCTTTTCAACCCACATCTGCAAGCTGCCACCCCCCAGTATCTAATACGTGCTGCGGAGTGGTAAAACCAGTGCGAGCCTGCCCTGGGGCTGGGGGTGCTTCAGGGAATGAGGGTGGCTTTGCTTCCCTCCCTGGCCACCCTATCCTAGGGATGGCCAGCAAGAAAATTCAGAGGCTCAGTGGGCTCTCAATCTCCCCAAGACTGGAGGCAAAGTTTGCACCATCTCTTCAAAAAGGATTGGCCAACTTTCCTGTCCAGCCACAAGCATCCGTAAGTCGCTAGGCAATCCTGCTTCTGCCATGCCAGTGTAAGAGATGATGGATTAATTTGCACGGCATAGGTTTGTAACTCGGGGTGTCAGTGGGTTTACTATGGCTGTAACAATGCCACTCCCAAAAAATGCTCCCTGCCACAGTGGGTTATGGCTTGTTAACATTGGTGGCTTTGGGGCTTTACTCCAAAGAAAGATGTAGCATTAGATACCTAAGCTTACTTAAATAGTGCTGACCACCCTAAAAGAGAATGTCGTGAGCAAAGAAAAATGTCAAACAAAATCAATTGTCTTCCGAAAGTACACAGACAAACTGGAAAAATGGAAAAGAAAAACGAATGCGCGCTTACCAAGCTCATTCAACAACAGGGCTGTGAAGGAGACAGACAAACACAGAAGAAGAAAAGTAAATGAATAATGAAATCAAAAGGGATATCCACAGAAAGACTCCAGATCCCAGGGCAGAGATTTCAGATCTGTAAAGCTGCAGGATACCATTAGTGTTGAGAGAAAGGCACTAAAAATAAAGGAACAGGAACATTTCATGGGACTGTGGATTTAAAATAAAAGCTATTGCAAACATGGGGTGGATATGGGATTAAAAGGCACACTCCAAAAATTCATTTTTCCCCTTTGAATTTTATGTGCAAGATCTTCCATTGGTCTCGGAGGCAGTTCTGCCCTGGGGGAGGACACAAGACATCCCATGTGCAGCGGCTACTGGCTTTGACCTCCTCCCGCTGCCCCCAGCAACAGCTCCAGCAGGCAGCTGTGCTTCTGGCATATAGGAGAGAAGAAAAGTCTGTGGCAAGGCTTGGCTCAAGGATCTTGTCGCTCAACATTTTAGGTCTCCAAAACAAAAGAAAAAGCCTCTCCCTTAGTGCAATGGTGGGTCTCTGGCCCCTGAGGCGTGGACCCCACCACGGCTGCGTGGCCCAAGGGTGACATTTCAGAGGTGCTCTCATGTCCAGGGTGCTGAGCACACAGCTCGCCCTGCCTCGCTGCCTCTTGTACAAAACCAAGCACAAAAAACAAGTTTTAAAAAAAATCATTGCATGGCCAAAGCAGCAAATAGCAGCCTTTAAAATCTTGACTTGCCTTCCAGCTAGTTTGTAAAGCTGAGTTTTCCTCAGGTTTCCTCAATTATCTTTGTGACCAGGAAGATGAGGAACTTTCTTTCCTTTTGCTTTTATTTTTAATTAAAAATTTTAGCTGGGATCTTGTGAGTTGGTATCACAACTCTCAAAGCTGGGGCCTGGAAGGCATGTTTGCTCTTGCCAGACTTGCAAGGCTGAGCCCACGCTGGTCCCTCTGAAGCTGGGCAAAGCTGGAGCCACTGAGTTGAGCTGTCTGGCAACACTGGCTACGCTCCATAGATGCCACCGGCACCATTAATGATACAAATCCCACCTGCAGAGCCTGGGCCATACCAGTATGTCTGATTTTTTTAGCCCTACTTCTGCAAGCTAGTCACGTAAACCAGTAGGAAAGCTGATGGAGGGGGTGATGTAGCTGACCTAGATGGCACCTGCACTGAAGGGGGATGTGGCATCGCTGCTGGATGTGTTTTGTCCCACTCAGTGTGGGGACCACTGGGGGCTGTCTGTGGCCTGTACAAATAATAGATTATGTCCCAGAAATTAGAAAGCAGCTCCAAAGCAGACAGACCAAATTCTGCTGCCAATTTTTTACAAAGGCTTTAATAAGGGTCTGTTGTAGAGCAACTAATTATCTTAAGTAACTCTAAAACTGCTTCTTGTTCAGCCACCAATAGCATGCAGAATTAGCCGTTGCCATTAATTTTCACTTAATTTCCTAGCAGAAAAAAATGCATGGAAAAATAAGTGAACTCTGTCTTTTTGGGAAGGTTTGCAGTTCGTTTAGAAATGTGATGAAAGAGGAAATTGTTTTTATTATTCCTATGAGAAGCTATTATCCAGTGCAGAGCCATGAAACTTTATTTGAGTATAACCTGATTTCTCCTAGACTGATTGCATCTTATGGTATTACCTGCTGTGATTCTCAGCTATTTTCAGAACCTAGTGCCAGTATAAAAAGGCTACAATTACCGCTCTGGCCATGCATTTTATTTCAAGAAAAGGCTATTTTATCTTCCAATAAAAATGATGCAGCATTGCCTTTTTACTTCTTGAGACTGATTTTTCTACTCAATTAAATGAAGGTGTAGCTGCGACGCGGCAGAGCAGCCCTCTCGAAATGTCTCTGGGTGCTAGCAATGCTCATTGTCCCCTGCCCGGGTGCTCCGGGGCCCTCCCAGGAGTCCGCCTTGCTCCTGAGGGGCCCTCGAGAGCCAGACGGAGTCCTCCCGAAATGAAAGAGAAAAGAAAACAGAGCAAAAAGGTGCAGTGGCCAAGCTTCAAAGGAGGCAGGGCAAAACGGCCGGGAGCCAAAGTGCGAGGAGAAAGGAGTGTGAGAGTAGGGAGACACAGAGAAAGCGGACGGCAGCGTCTCAAGAGCTGGTCTGGTTTTACTCTCACACCTTTCACTCCTCGTCGTAGCCACACCGGGTCCCCAAGCACAAGGAAGAAACTGCACTCTTTCTCATACTCCTCACGGTCAAGTACTCTAAGGGTAATGAATTTCCTGTGGGAACACAAGACAAAGGCAAACACATGATTGGCATCACACACGCATGCAGTTCATGTCCGCCCGGGTGCTGCGGTGCCGGAGATGGTTGGGTGGGGGGAAGCGGCTGCACATTCCCCCCTGGGGCGTATGGGGAAGGACAGGAGCATCCCCACCACCCGGCTGGGGTCGGACCTTGGTGGGCTGGGGAAAGGCTGAGTTCAGGGGGGGTTGGGAAGTGTCCTCGCTCCTGCCCTTTTCCATAGGCGTTGGGGATGTGAGCTCAGTGTTGCAGGTGCCAGGCATGAGTGAGCCAGACAGGGACACACAGGCTGGGCTCAGCCCCGGAGGACGTCCCCCACCTTTCTTCTCACTCATCTCCACCAGCCGGGGCTCCCCGATCTCTAGGTAGAAGGTCTTGTTTTTCTCATACTCCTCATCATCTATCACCTTGATTGATATCGTTTTGCTGGAACAGAGAAGAAGAAATAGAGATTCAAGAGTAAGGGGGGAAAAAGGAGGAGGGGAGACAGGGAGAGGAGGATGGAAATGGCAGGAGAAGGGGGCTGCGGACAGAAAACAGTGGGCTTGGTAGCATAGGCTGGAGGGGCAGCACCGCCGAAAGCAAAGGGCAGGAGCCAATGGACTGAGCTTGCCTCAGGATCACAGGGTCAGAGCACCAGCAGCTTGCAGGGTGCCATCCTCCCTGACCTGGCCAGAGGCCACTGCTGCACACGATCCAGCCTCGACCAGCCTCCCCCAGAGGTACCTTGGCCTGAGGGCAGCAAGACGTGTCCCTTTCCAAAAAATCCAGGGTGCAGAACAGCCCCTTGATAGCCTGCACACACTGCATAGGCTCTGGGGGCACAAGCACTGGGAACCAGCACAGACCAAGCCCCTGAAAGCACGATGCACTGCCTAAACCAGCCCCTGCACACGGAAGAGGTTCTGACTCGCCAGGCACAGCAGACCCATGCACAACATCATGATCAACTGCTCAGTTTGGGCTTTGGAGTCTCCAATTTACAAGCTCAAATGGGATGCTGGAGTTAGGACTTTATCTGTAGAGAGAACATAAGGGAAAGATAGTCTTTCTGGTTAGGGTAGGGTGAAGGAAAGCTTCACTGACAGTGAGATTTGACTTTTTTATTTCCCTTTGCAAGCAGCGCATCCTTCCCCAAGACCTGAACGTTTGGTTGTCTCCTGTTTGAAAGCCATGCAGCAACTGTCTCTTCTCACGTGGCCCAGGGTTGCTGAATTTGCCCCTGTGGCATCAGCAGGGCAGGTCCGAAGGCAGAACCTCTGCTCAGAGCACAGCCACAAAGCATGCACCACGAAGGGTAAAAGCCTCGCAGAAGGCTGTGGTTACCAGCAGAGAGATTTACTCCTTGGGGCACCCAATAGAGTGAAATTTGAGTGAACAAATTGCTTTACCAGGGGAAAAAATCAGCATAGAAGAAGTTTTCCAGCTCTTCAGGGACTTACGTAAGTAGCCTAGAAACACCCAGCCAAAAGCTGCTCACCAGAAAGTGGCTAAACCCCTGGGGTACAAGGGGCTAGTGCATGGGCGGGCACTACTGTGGTCTTTCCTACAGTGCAGAGCCCTTGCAAAGACAAGTTGGGGGACAGAAATCCAGCAGTCCCTGCTCCCACGCAGAGCACCCTGCTCATTGTCACCTGCGTGTGGCATTGCTGCTGGGATGGGACCTCCTCCTGACTCTGACCTTGTCCCAGACGAGAAATAAGGCAGTAACAAGAAATAAAAAGGCAACGCAGTGACTGTCTGCAGCCCTCTGCTTGCTGCCGACCTCCTGGCTGGGTTTGCTTTTTCCCCACGCTTGATGGCACTGCCCTCCTGTGAATGCTCTTGCTTAAACAAGCTTCCCAGTCGTTCTCCCCCTGCCCAAGCCTGTCTACCCCATCCTTCGAAGAAATGCCTCTTGTCCCATCCTCAGCTCCTCTCTGCTTTCCACAGGCAGCCAGCGCAAGTCAGAGCAGCCCCGAGGCTGCCCTAATATATGATCAAGGAGATTCTGCTGTTCCTGGCAGGTCCCAGCGCTGAAAACCCATAAACATGGAAGAAAGCCACACTCTAGGGCAGTTAAATTCAGGCCACGCTGCCATAATTTCTGGCTTTCTCCCCTCCTTGCACATCTATACTGCCACCCCAAGCCCCTCTGTTAAGCTGACAAGTATTTGGCAGCAGAGTTGACATTTTATTGTCATTCAGAGCAAACACCACCAAGCACTTGGAGGAACAGCCAGGTTGATTTCTTGTGCTGTTTGCTATGAGTCAGAAGTGTATTAAGTTTGCCCTTCATGCTTATAATGAAACCATTTACTCAAGAGCAAGTGATGGCTGTGAAAAGTGTAACAATGCAGCATGGCTCAGGGTAATTGTATTTTATAATGAATATCTGTAATAATTTGTTCTGTTTATAATTATTGCTGCAATAGGTTTGTATATTGGAAAAATAGTTACCAAGTACACAGCTGATCTTGCTTTGCATTGATGAGTTAGGGGAAATTATCATGTATTAAAAAACTAATGAAGGATGCACAAAATGCTCTCAGCCAAGCTATCAAAAAGGACTTGACAGAATTAACAGAATGGCACAATTTCAAAAGCATTACTAACAAAATCAATAATTTCCCTGACAACTCCCACTAAAATGTACAGCGCACCCTGCCCTCATGTATGAAAAAGCCTTTCTCAGGAAAGTTGATTAAAAAAGCTGCTTTCATCAATTCTGAGGGCAGCAGAGGTATCAAGATGTAAACTTCCTACGGGTGTGCTCCGGTGTGCCGTGTGTGGCATTCCTCAAAGTCCCACAAAATAATTCTATCTCACAAAAAGAAACCTGGGTGCCAATTAAAAAAAGCTGTTCCTGATGCTTAGACCCAACCCTGATAGGACTTCCTTGAACAATGCGGTGGGGCTTAAAGTGCCAGTGCCAGCAGATGCTGCTATTATGCAGTTTTCCAAGTGATCTTTCTAGGGTACAAGCAAGTGCCCTGTGTTGGGTAGATATGTGCACTGCTGCTGTTTCTGCTGTACAAGGTTGCTGGGAAAAAGGGTGGGATGAACAAACAGCAAGTCTGCTCTCTGGATGAGTCTCCAATCAGCAAGAATTGCTGAGGCAAATTTGTCCCTGGGATGAGACTGCAGTCCTGGAGAAAAGGATTTCCTCGTAATGGTGTTTGAGATGACACATGTTTGAGAAACAGCAAGTATGTGAAAATAACACAGGCTATTCTTAGAGCATGCCTGATCTCCATTGCACTGCCTTTTGCCTGCTGCAAAGCTCCTCCGCAGGGTCCTGCACACATGTGGCCATGCAGTGGGGCTTGATCAGTGGAGGAGGAAGATCAGGCACCTGCACAATTTATATCATGTTAGAATAAGGACTGCTTTCTACAGTGACCTGGGATGTGCACTGATGACACCCTGCTCCTATTGGACCCTCTGACACGGTCTCTGCTTCTCACTCCTCTCCCAGGCAGAGGTTTGCTGGATAGCGTGGGCTGTGGCGGTGTGAGCAGCATCGAGCTAGTGTGGGGCTGCCCGTGCAGGCTGTGGATTGCAGCCCACGTTCCCGGTGGCTTCACCTAGTCCTGTGCTCCTGCTGCGTTCAGTGTCCAGTTTTGCAAGCCTGCTGCCTGCAGTCCTCTTTTTCAGAGGTACATGTTGCTGTGTGAGGCTGATTTTCTTGCATTACATGGTGTGAATGAGGCAGACCAGGAGCACCTGGCAGAGACAGGACTGGGTCCCCATGGACTGATGTGGGCTGCAGTGCTGAGCACAGCAGCTGAGACATCTGCCCCTTGATTTCCCTAGCTGGACAGAGTGGGATGAAGTATGCCGAGACCCAAAGACAGCACAAGTACTTGCTGAAATTTGCATTTAAAATCTTTCTATCCTGTAACTCAAGGGCTCCTTCATCACAAGATGTGATAGTGCTTAACACAGAATCATAGGATCATAGAATGGTTTGGGTTGGAAGGGACCTCAAAGATCACCTAGTTCCAACCCCCCTGCTATGGGCAGGGACACCCTCCACTAGACCACGTTGCCCAAAGCCTCATCCAACCTGGCCTTAAACACTTCCAGGGAGGGGGCATCCACAACATCTCTGGGCAACCTGTTCCACTGCCTCACCACCCTCACAGTAAAGAATTTCTCCCTAACACCTAATCTAAATCTACTCTTTCAGCTTAAACCCATTACCCCTTGTCCTGTCACTACACTCCCTGATAAACAGTCCCTCACCATCTTTCCTGTAGGCCCCCTTCAGGTACTGGAAAGCCGCAATTAGATCTCCCCAGAGCTGCCTTTTCTCCAGGCTGAACAATCCCAACTCTCTCAGCCTGTCCTCATAGGAGAGGTGCTCCAGCCCTCTGATCAGCTTCGTGGCCCTCCTCTGGACTCGCTCCAACAGCTCCATGTCTCTCTTGTACTGGGGACCCCAGAGCTGGATGCAGTACTCCAGGTGGGGTCTCACAAGAGCAGAGTAGAAGGGCAGGATCACCTCCCTCGACCTGCTGGTCACCCTTCTTGCTTGTGCAAACAGAAAACAAAAGGGACACTGTATAGCACCCCGAAACCCCCACTGCTGAGTCACTGCAGGGCCAGAAACCAGAAGTCCCAAATCCATGAGACAGAGGGAAAAACCAGAAGATTAAACCAGAAGACTAAAGCAGCCTCTAAACCATTACACGTTTTCTTCATCTTGTGCGAATCTGGGATCAATCTAGATGGTCTTTCCTCAAATCATCACAGAGGTCTAGAATGAATCTTGATTTGGGGATGAAAGTGGTGTTTCTGCCATAATCTAACATCTCCAGGAGCTGGGTATTTAAGCCAAACACTCAAGATCCCATGAGTGTGCAACACCACAGCACTTGAAAAAGCTGGAATATTTTTTTCCTGCCTTGTCCCTGGGTCACACTGCAGGTGTGAAAGAGCAATTTCTGAATCATCTCTCCAACAGATTTGGGTGCATGGGGCTAGAGGTCCCTCTGCCAAGCCAGGCTGTGTGTTGGCCTAAACCACCAGGCTTGGCACACCTCCTGCCTTCCCCCCTGCCTGCTGCAGGGAGCCCCACTGACACCATGGGGCAAATTTGCAACAACCCACTGCTGCTGCTGGAGTTTTCCTTCCATTGGTGTTGAGTCCATTTCGCCTGAGCTAAAGAGCCCTGCTCTGGCATGAAGGCTGAGGGCATCCATGGTGCATCCAACTGTCTGCATTTCTGTACCAGAAATTGCTCTTCCCTGAGTCTGTAGCCAAGGCAATTGCTGAGGGAACGAGTTTCATCTCATTTCCATGTACCGGAAATCAAAGAATAAAACACATCTTGCAGAATTGCAGCTCCAGCTCTTCTCTTATTGCTGACACCCAGCAGCAACAAGAGAAGGATGGTATTTTGTGAACGCGGCATACGAATCTCTGCCCTCACTCCA